GCCTATTTTACTAGAGGCGCCTAAAAACAGCTTGGCTTATTTAACTCTGTAAAAGGAAATATGAAAGGGAATCACTGCTCTTCAAATATACTGGGGGAATAAGCACCAGGGAAGTAGAATTGCTATTTGAGCTTTAGAATAAGATTGGTGTAAAACAAAATGCATAAAAAATAGCTATTAACAAACTGAAAATAACTACCAGATAAGTATTTCTAACCATAAGATAAAGGAGATTCTGGAACAGGCTTCCTGTAACCACATACAGATGTTCCATTTTTGCTGGGAGAAAAGCCTTTCTTCTAGCATAAACAGAGCTGTTATGACTCTGTTTGAGAGCTTTGTTGCAAAGAGCACTGACTCTTTTGCTAGAAGGTATATCGGGTACCAGTGAGGAAAAATTTCTTCAGGATCTAAATGGAACATCTATACACTGCTTTTGGGTGATGAGGACACTCAATAGCCCACAATCCTCTGCTCTTCCTCCCTGCCCAGGAGTGAGCTGTCAGGGAGCCCTGTGGGGATCCTGGCTAAAAAATTACTCCCCTCCTCCACAGATTTCCCTGGAAGGAGAATGCCCCCCCAAACCCTAATCAGCTCACTGGCAGCAGGGATGCCCTTCTTCTGCAGCAGGAAACCTCCAAGAAAGAGTTCCCACTGTGATAGAATGCCCCTGCCTTGCCCCACACTGCTCCGGGCAGACAGGGCAAACCAGGCTACCATGCTGTAACAGCAAAGCTCAAGAGACCTGCCGCTGTAGCGAACTGCCCTCATCATCTTTTACACTGCTCTGAGTCAACCCTGCGGTGGCAGGAAGAGGCAGACTGCCATGATCCAGCTATAAGTCTGTCTGCACCTTACTTCCTCAACACAATGCCCCACCTTGCACTCCTCCACTTTGGCCCAGAGAAGTGCAGAGAGCAGAGGTTATTCATCTGTGGCAGGAAACTGGATTGTTCCCAGAGGAAAATGTTCCCTCCTCCCTTCAATCAGCTGATTCATGGGTTGGGGGGAGGCTTTCTTCAGGGGCTGGAACTCTCCCAGAGCTCTGTGACAGATGCTGCTTTTCCACAGCTGCCAACTGCCTATTTTGACAGCCAGCTCCCTTTTCAGAGAAGGGAGAAGGCAGGCTATCAATTAAAGGGCTCTCCTAAAGGTAGAGGTGGCCAAGGGAGGAGCTATTTAGTGCATCCTGACTGGAGAGCTTGCTTGTGAAGTTCTCCAGCCACAAGGCTGGAATACCGGTACACTTTGGCTTCTGGCCTATTTTTCTATTGGTAAGAGTTCCTCTGATATTCCTACTGATACAAATTTATGCCTGTACACAGCCACTATGAATAGCAGGAGGCAAAACAACCCTACTGCTTTTAAAATACAGGTTGATCAATTTATGACAGAAGTTACCATGGCATGGTTGCCTGTAATACCAACAGTGGACCTGAAGATCCAGGAGCTTCCTTCCTGTCCTATATTCCAACATGTGTATTACATACCCCAAGTCCACAATCCACAATGAGGAAAAAAGGCCATGTTGATTAAAAATCAACCTGCTTGGAAGGGAAATGAAGACAGCTATAAAACTAAAGAAGCCATATAAAACAAGAAAGTTCAGTCTCTCTGAATGAGTTAATCTATAAAGTGCCACCCTGCCCTGTCTTCTGCCATATAAAATAAATAGAAGTAAAGGAAACTGTTCAAAATAAACATAAATCTAAAGCTACAAACCGTAGAAAATTAATAAGGGAAATAAAAAGAATATAAGAAGAAACTATGACTAATAATGTATAAAAGGCAAAAGGTTGCAATAAATATGTGTTATGCATTTAGGAAATTGAGAGGTTGTTTAATGGCATGCTTTCTATTCTACTGATAACTTGGTACAGTTTTTAACAGCAGGTGCTGTAGTTAGACATTTTTTATAAGTTACATCCATGTAGGAACAAATCTCCATTTTAATTTCTTTAAAAGGGAAGGGGGAGCTACCGTTGCACAGAAGTGTGCATCGGGTGTTACAATCCTACTTTTACAGCTACATGATCCTATAGCAATAAAAGTTAGCTCAACTGCCCTGGACTTGATCCGAAATGAAGCAGTTAAAATTAGAGTGGTTTTTACTAAACCTGTATTGCTACAGAATCATGTAGATGTAACAACTGCATCATAGGAGACTGAAAACAGCTATTTGATATTAATACAACTGTTACATATGAGATGCATCAACTAGAAAGGTTATGGAATCTCAATCCTTGGAAGTTTTTAAGAGCAGGTTAAATAAACACTTCTCCTGAATGGTTTAAACTGGGATGATCCTGCCTTGCACAGGGGGTTGAATTAAATGACCTCATGAGATCCCTTCTAGCCCTGTTTCCTATAATGCTCTGATTTGTCTATATCCTCTAACATTAGTGTTGATTTTCAGTAATTTTTGGAACACTGTGGAAGTTCCAGAAGACAGAAATACAATATTGTGTCAATATTTCAAAATAGCTAACAGGAAGACCAAAGTATTTATTGGCATGTCAGGCAAAATACTATATTTAATAATATTTAATATAGAATTCAAGTAATAAAGAGCTAAAGGAGGGAAATAAACCTAATTAGCATCAGTTTAGAGACAACAAATTATTAGCTCACTTGCTAAAATAGCAGTAATGTTTTATATTTAGACACTAGTGTATGGCATTCAAATTGGAACCAAATGATACTTGACTAAAAAAATAACATGATACAAATTCAAAAAAGCATGTACTAAATTGATAGCAGACTGGCTATCTGAAGAGTCTGGAAACTGGGAATCATCATGAAGTTAGTGACTGTTTCTTAGCCCTTCAGTGCTTAATATTATTATCAAAAACCTAGAAATAAACATTAAATCATCACTGACCAGGCTGCAGATGACACATCCTTATGTCTGACTGGCTCTGAGCCAATGAGCTCTACCATTTGACCTTCTAGTACAGTCATTCACACAGAAAGCACAAGTCCCAAATCCAGGATTCAGAGGAATCCCAATATCAAGCTCCTTTTATTTATATTTCCTCCTCCCCAATTCCCCCATCTGCATTTAATACTTTAAAAACCTTTGGCTTCAAATGAGATACTGAACGTCACTAACTGAATAGGCACACAGTTAATTTGTTATGCTTCCTTATTCGAACTGGAACACAGGGGTCTTCACTGTTCTGCAACCTTTCATTTTTTCCCACTTCACTTTAAGGGTTAATTCCACCTTTGCTGTACATTTCTAAGCTGTCTACAGTCTGCCTCAAATATGAACAATATAGGCAGACATCAAGTGAAAATGTTGCCTCTTGTCAGTCAACCTTTCACTCATAATCCACAGAATCTCAGGGCACATCTACATGTTCATTAATGCACAATGGTTACTGTGCATTAAATTTAGTACTTGTATAATTGAGTACTAAATTAATGTGGCAACTGGAGTTACTATATACTAGCGGCAACATGCGCCTTTTTAGTGATGCTAGAGTGCAGTAGCCTAATGATATTAGGCAACAGCGTATTAGCACTGTTTGTGCTGTGACACGCCACTGCGTAGTTAGTGTCTTGTGTAGACGCATTCTTTGGCGCCTTAACTCAGGGGCAGGCAAAATATGGCCCATGGGCCAAATCCAGCCCACCAGGCCATTCTATTCAGCCCACAGGACCCCTAAAAAATTTAGAAAATATTTATCTGCTCCAGGCTGCCTGCAAAAGAGGACAGGAGCAAGGGGCAGCAGGACCCACGGTGATCTGTCAGTAGGAGGCAGGAACCCAGCCCAACACCAGGCCATTTCCCTGGTTCCTGCCTGCACCCTGCTCCAGCAGCATGTGGCTTCTGGCTGCATAGCCCAACCAGGAAGGACGGGTGGTGTGTGTAGGGAGAGGAGAGCGAGAGAGTGCAAGCAGGCAGGGGCAGAGCATGCACGTGTAGGCAGAGGCAGAGTGTGCATGTATGTGTGTGTTTGTAGGGTGAGTTCCACACGCACACCCCACCATACACATGCACCCACACTCCGCCCCCGCACTGCCATGCATGCAGACCCCCACCCCCCCTCACACCCCCCAGCCACCCTCCCCACAAACCCCATATCCACCCACACCCCACATATCCACACACACACCCATGTGCTCTCTCACCCACATACCCACACACCCACAGCCCCCCACAAACCTATACCCACCCCTCACAATATACAAGCGGAAGAATTATTTTTTTCTCCTGTTCCATTCCTGCCTCCCATTTGTCACTGACTTCTGCCAAGTTTGCTTGGCATAAGCAAAGCTCCACAGACTCAAAAGCAGCTGAACTGGATAACAAACAGCAGAAATTAACAAGAAAACTGAGTAGTGTATGGACATCATAACAGATCAGATCAATAGTCTATCTAACCCAGCATCTTGTATCCACCAGAAACAGATGCTTTTGGGTTGGGGAGGAAGGAGGAGAAACTTAAAAAAATCATATTCCAAAATTTGGGTTGGGGAGGAAGGAGGAGAAACTTAACAAATTCATATCCCAAACCAGCCACTGCATACAGGAATTTTCTTCCTAACCTCCTACTGATTAGCAATAAAATTATATCCTTATGCATGAGGCATTGAAAATGTTTTATACTGTCTGTTTTAACTTTTGATGTTGTCACCTATATAATATCTCATTTTTTTATACCTTTTAAGCTTATAGCTTCCACAATGTTTTGACTTCCACAGGTTAACTTAATTATCCATTGCATAAAGTGGCTCTTATGAATCCAATCAGTTTTCTACCTATGTCCATGGAAATTTCACTACTGACCTCAGTTGCAACTGGATGGTACCAATTCTGTTTATTCATGTGTCAACAGTTAAATTAACAATATGTTTAAATAAATGTAAATAAAAGTACTTATTAGTAATACACACATTATATTTATGGGCCAAGATCTTGAAACAATATTCAACCAATTTTTAATAAAAAGTAAAGAAAGTAACTATGATACCTATTATAAATTGTGTCTTACTTTTCTAATTCCTCAGGGTCAAACTTCCACCATGTATCTGGCTCGCGGAATTCTACTATGTAGCCTTTTTCTAGAGCCTACAACAAGCAAAGACATACACATGAAAAGTGTAACTTTACCAAACTCTGCATTGCAAAACAATACAGAAAAATGCATAGAAAAATATTAATAACCAAGTTTTTACTATTATTAAGTATAATGCAGTGCTAGCATGCTGAAATGTAGTTCACTCCCCACAAAGCAAGCCTACAATTCATCCTGGGCTAAACATATGCGATCAAATTATCCCAACTGAACCATTACCATCCCTGTTAATGACTATGCCAAAAAGTTGCTATTCCAAAGGAGTGTTAATAAGAAAAACCTATCTAGACAAAGTAGTCATATTTATCATTTCAGAAAGTAAGACTACAAAGAAAATCATTTTAAGAAAAAAAATAATTTAGGATATTTATATTTACCATTTCTACATACGGCTTCATTTCCCAGGCTTGAGTATTAGTATTGTCTATTATAATTGGAGATTTTCCCTGTTCCATTGCTTGTCTTGCTACAATAGGATAATAAATTAAATACAGAATTAATGCTTTAAATCAAGTAAAAGGATGAAAATAAGCTATTTGTTCTAGAAGGTATTTTATTAGCTTTTCTATGATGAACTGATCTAATCTGGATTGAGAAGGATTTTTGTGGGTGGTATCTTTTATCAGACCAACTGCATGGTTGGGATAGACTTAGACAAACTCTTGAAGGCTGTGTACTCCACAAACCTGAAGGAGTTCCCAACCATGCAGTCAGTCCTATAAAAGTTATCACCCACAAAAATCCTTGCCTCTTGCCTATTTCCTGGACCATCACAGCTACACCATCACTCCAAGTCAAATATGGATTTCTATTTCATTAGATTCCATCTGAATGAGAACTGAGACTTTGCTTCAAGATAAGTAAACAAACAGTAATTTACTTAATAAGGGTGTACAAACACGGGTACACATAGGTAACTGTCATCCTCTTGCTTCCAACTCCAATATATCAAAGAGGCATTGGTCTTCAGCATGGAGACAGGAAGGATGTTGGCCATACAACTTCTATATACTTACCTTTTCAAGCAGTTCCTAGAAGGACAACTGTACGAGCCACACTATAGAAAACATTACTGTTTCAACAGAGAACACAAAAAATACCTTTATGAAACCTATACCGTATTCAAAAATCTTCTGTTCCAGAGCTGCTAACATTGCATATCTAAAAATAAGCATTACATGCAAAACAAATTCAAATAGCTCCCTAAGACAATCAATATTTCTGAGCAAACAGAAACAAACTATTTCTAAAAATACATATAGATATTTTTCATATTATACACAATTGTAAGCATATACATATACGCGCACACACTTTCAAACTGCTGGGCTGGGCAGTATGTATTTATTTATTATTTATTCTCCCAAAACAGGCATTTGCCCTTTTAATTCTCGAAAGAAATCTGTCTTAAGAGTTGCAGAACCAAGAGGCAGAAGCAAAACAACGGTTTAGTGCTTCTACAGTTGCTAACCATATAATAATTTTTAAACATTAATACAACTTCTATAGAATTTTACTTCAGCAATACTGTAATACCTGGCACAATTTAGATAAGGCACATTCAATTTTAGGGTGACACTGGCAGTGATATCTGTACTTAAAACTGCCTTATATTTTTCAGTCTAGAGTCTAGGACCTTTCTGTTGGTTTTTGAAAATTTTGCCAAAAGCTTGAATATTTCAGGTTGCTATTTTTTATGCTATGTATCCACCTCAGGGGGATTTTTTTTTAAACATGCTACTGCAAAACAGTTCAGAGCAAAGATTAAGGAAAAGTGAAATGTTGCTTTACCCATGTTAAATTCTTAAAAATATTGTTTCACTGACAAACATTAAAAACCTCTAAGCTTTGGAGATAGAACTTGAAATATGGAAGTTTACTCTGTTGTTACCGGATGCAACTTTTCTTGCCTTAAAATGAATGAAAGGACTGCATAACATGAATAACAAAGGACAAGGAATTTCATCTGACAGCTCCTATACTGATTCCATAAACTTCGGTTGAGCTACAACACTTTTTAGAAAGACGTTTAATACTGATTTAAAGATTTTCTTGTTATACAGAGTCCAGAGTATTCCTACATATTTTTTTCCACTGGTTAATCATCCTCACTATAAAAAGCACTTGCACTTTGTTTTCAAATCTGAATTGGTCTGGCTTCTGCTTTCAGCCAGTCTGTTGTGTTACGCTTTGTTTCCAATTTTGAAAAGGCCACTATTACAAAAGATTTTCTTCCCCATACAGATCTTATAAATTGTGATCATGCACCCCCTCTGAACTTCTTTCCTGTTAAATTAAATAAATGAAGGTTTTTAATTTCTCACTGTAAAAGCAGTTTTCACGTGTCAAATCCTTCTTGCAGCTCCTTCCCAAGTCCCTTCCAAATTGTGAAGATCACTTATAAGAAGTCTGTTGCCAGAACTGGACACTGTATTCCAAAGCAGGCATTTAGACAGCATGGGCAAGGAAACAGCAGCTTGACTCAAAGGTAAAAGCACCAGCACAGAAACAGTGCTGAATACAAGCAGAAGGGAGTGAAGTCAAGGGGGGTGGAGCCAAGGGATGTTTTTGGAGGCATGAGATGGAGGGATGGGGATATAGGGGGATAATGGGCAGCAGTGACGGAGACAGGAAAGAAAGGTTTATAACCCCTTTAGCACATGCAACTCTAGAATCTGGAACTGAACCTAATATTCCCAAGTTTTAAAATTTCTGACTGGCATATAACTGAAAACCCAAGGGTAAAGTAAGTCTCTCAATTTCTAGACCCAAATAGAAGATAACAGCCTACTGGTGCAACTCGAAAGGGGTACACATGGGAAAAAACAATGACCCAATGGTCCAAGTATTGTATCCCAGGAGTCAGTAGGTGTAAATGCATCAGGAAGGTCCTAGTATGGCATGACAGCAGCAAGGCTAGGCCCCAAACTCCTGCAAGTTCAGCAGCAAGACTGTTACTTCTTTAGTGTAAATAGTTCTTTATACAAGTTCCTGTAAAGAGTACATTGTTTCCAAACCAAAAACCTCATCAAGACACCAGAGATTGCATTCAGCAGCTCACTTGCCCAGCGCCAGTTCAACTGCTGCTTCAAGCACAAGCTACACTGCTCAGGCAATAGCTACTGCTAACTCCTTAGCAGCTGTGAGAGGGTTAAACACTGGATTGCATCACTTCCTGAGCCAGAGAGAAATGGCAGCAATTACAGCAATTAATCTTCACGCTTCTCTTTCAGTAAAGAAAAATCAGCTTACAACATGCACCTCAGTTTTGGAGAGCTAATTTTTTGGGGGAAAGGTATATATGGTATGTGAGTAAGTGTGGTATTTGATAGCGCAGGTGACAAAAACCTTTCCCTAAAGTCACAATTCTGTTGATGATGCATGCGAAGATCAAGAGTTCCACATAAAATTTTAGGTGGATACAGGCAAGGATTCAGCTCACTTTTTTAAACCTAGAAAGTTCAAGGGGGGAGAAGAGGATGCAAAGGTTGCAAGGTAAATGCTCATACTCAGAAAATATGAGAATCAAAGTTACATATGCAGCCTTAACTTAGCCCCCTTGTACATTATGATACAGTCTTTAATTGCATGTTAATGTAATTTTTTTTTTCCATATAAGCCCTACCTCATTCAGTGCACAGACTGGACCTGTCCTGGAGGTGAATCAAGAAGGTGCAGTGAAATTGTCAGTATGATCAATGCATCTCTCACTTAATGCAGAAGTTGGAAGGTATGTAACAAATAAGGCAGGTGACTGCAGGGAAAAAAAGGATTGTCTTATGATTAAGGCACTTGAAGAACATCCTTCATAACTGGAGTCTATCCCTGCATCTGCTATGTACCTATGTGATGGTAGGCAAGTCATTTTTCACAGATGGCCACTTATTGTACCTACTTTATTTCCTGATTCCCTAACTTAAAATACTTGGTGTCACATTTGTCAAGTGCTAACCCTCACCTATAAATCTAAAATCAGTTTAAAACATACTTTCAACATACAAAGTTACATGAAAGTTTAATACTCTGGGGGAAAAAAAAACAAACAATGTGTGTCAAAAATTGGGCACACAACATTTGAGAATGTGTTTGATAAATAAAACCCTCAATATATCAGTATCTCTGAACCCTGGCTGTAAAAAGGGAATTAAAGTCCCACCTGCTTTTATGGGCATGATAAGATTGCTTCACACGTGAAGTATTCAGAGTCTTAGGTGACAAGTGCCACAGAAAACACCCATGCGGAAGCTATTAATGCCCTACTTCACCACAGTATTAAAATAGCATGGAGTAACTAAGAAATGACAACCCACACTGAATGATGAGTATGGATTAAAAAAAAAGTAATACCTACACATTCAGTGATCATTGCCCAACCTGTACACTGAATGAAGCAGAAGGAACATGGAAAAACAGTTCTTTACTGGGGAGAGTCAAGCAGTTATCACATACACACATTTACCTGGTATTCGCCTGACAGACTGCAAGGATTTAAATCAAAGGAGAGCCGAGTGAAATCTCAGCAGCTGCCGGGGGGGGGGCTGCAGTGGGAAACACTCACTCATGTTTGCTCACTCATATGCACATCCATAAAGACACATAAAAAAACAGAAAAGAAGCCCACAGTCAGCTTCTCCCAACTCAGAAAGGGGTGTAACTAGATTGAGGGGAATTTACGGAAGTTTACAGAGAAAGATTACAGAATAGGTATATCCCATGCATCCCTGATTGTTTTAAACTGTTGGATACTACTCTATTTTCTCCCATATCACAAATCCTCAAAAAGATATACACCTTGTTTTGGGAAGGCACAATGAAGGGAAGGGAAGATTTTTCCAGAATTATGACTGAATCCTGACTGCGTGCCTGAATCCTGACCATCACTGCTCAGCCAAAAAAAGGAGCGAGAGAAAGCTACATCTTTAACCCTCTTACAGCAGATACCAAATTGGCATCAACTAGGAAAGTAACAGTGCAGCCAAATATGCACTATGTCCCTCCCTCCCTACCTGGAAAAGGACAGCACTGACACCCACTACTCTTCCGCTCTGGAATAGTATAAGGTTTCTGACCAGTCTGCAGCTACTTCGCCACCACCTGTTGGCTGCCACAACTTCTGGGAACAGAACAGGGTTAAACTAAGAAGCAGCTCGACTCAAAGGCAAAAAACACCAGCACAGACAATATACTAGACAATATGGTAAGACAATGTGGTTCTCTCACTCTCAAATATGTAGAGAGGGATAAAAGTAGCAAAGCCTGAAGAGCAAATTTGAGAGGAACTCAAAAGGGGCCTAAAGTTTAATCCTAGAACCATGTAATTAAAGACTATCATAATATATGTACACAAAGGGACAGAATTCAAGTTGAACAGACAATCTTAAGTTTGAGCACTTGATTTTGCAACCTTAGCATTCTTAACACACATCATGTCATAGCCAATATTTTTAATTGACTGCAGTATCAGATGGAACCACTGCATTTAATTTTCAGGCTGATGAAAATTGTAGGAGTCTGAAATTTCAACAGATAAAAATCAAGCAGCAGACCTGCAGAATTAGCCTCCAAAGTAATTCAAGTCTTCTTATATTGACAACAGACAATATTTAACTTCATAAACATTTTATAAATTATTCTTGACTAATCTTAGGGTGAGAATTATTCTAGGTTATAGACAAAAGCACTTTAGCAAATGTACCCCACCACTCCCTACCACCATCTACACAGAAATGTAATTATTGGCTGTTTGCTTCTAAAGTAAATATGGGTGGGAATTTTTCAACTGAAACATTGTGTTTAGTGCCCTGAGAAAACCATGGGTTTCTTGCTGAAAAGCCACAGCACGTGCACAGGTAAAGCATAGTTTTTCATGGATTATCCACCAAACTACCACCAATCTCGGCAAATGGGTTCTGGTAGTTCAGTGAATATTCTGTGGGAAAAAAAACAAAACAAAAAAACTTTAGAATATTCTGTGGGAAAAAAAACAAAACAAAAGTACTTTCCCCATGCATGTGCAGCAGGCAGCCACACAGCCAGCGGCAGCAGAAAGCCAGGGGTAATGGGTCTTAGCCCCCTCAAATGCAAGGCAGCACAAAGGGCCACAGGGCAGCCCGGGTGCAAGGCTCCAGGCGGCTGTAGCAGGTGGGGAGGGGGGCGCGCCACACACAGACAGACACAGAGCCTGCATGCAGACAGGACTGCTACAGCAGGTTAGTTGGGAAAGCGGCATTGGGGGGAGGGGGGGGTAGATCGAGACCCCCACAGGTTTGGAGGGAGTGGGGCATGGGCAGGTGGGGCCCCAGGGTGGGTTATGGGACGCTCTGAGCCTGGGCAGCTCGCCCAGGGACACAAGGGGCTTCCTGCCGCTGCGCGCACCTTAGGATCTGTGTGGAGTGGAGGCAGGCTGTCTACTGAGGGCTGGGCTCTGTGCCCTGCTGCTCTTTTCCCGAGAGCCAGCTCCAGGAGCCGGCGGCAGCAGGCACATGCGGTTAAGCTGCTCCTGGGGCAGGAGCAGCGGGGTACAGAGCCCAGTTCGCAGCGGGCAGACCACCTCCGCCCCATGCACAGATCTGGGGGGAATGTTCCACCCAGGCCTCTCCAGAGGTGCGCGCAGCAGCAGGATCCCCCCCCCAACCCTGGACAAGCCGCCTGGGCTCAGAGCGTGTCACGACCCAACCCGGGGCCCCACTCACACCATTCCCTCCCTGCTGTGGGGGCCTCAATCTGCCCCCCCTCCCCCATGCCTCTTCCCAGACTTACCTCTTTCTGTCTCTTTCTCAGGGCTTAAACAGACATTACATTGTGTTAAAACAGCCTCCATAGTAGCTGTTTTAACACAACAAAAAGTAACCAGCCACATGTTTATGCTGTTTGTTTTTACGCTAAAAAAAGACCTGTTTTCCACAGAAATGGCAGATCCACAATAAAGTTGCGGTTTATCTTTCCAAGATAAATTTAACGTGTGGTCAAATCTGAGAAACCCCCACAGTACCCTGCTTCCCCTCCCCTCCTTCAGCCCACTCAGTGGGAAGCTAGTAGGCAGCCAGGCAGAAACTGGCTTCCAGGCAGTCTTGCCCTGGTTGCCTCCCAGCAGCAAAGTAGACAGGGAAGCAGCAGAGGCAGAAGCTTGCAAGTGGGACCAGTCTCCAGTCTCAGGCTACCTGAAACACCTTTAAAGTTTGCAAAGGCAAGCTCTCCAGCCAGTGGGTGATAATCAGGAACAGCTCTAAGATCCACCAAGTCTCCAAGAGAGCTAGTCAGTGAGGACAGACTCACCAATAGGCTTGCCTGATTAGCTGCTGCCACCATGACAACAGCTAATGGAGGTCAGAGACAAACGCAGCAGTGGAAAGTCTCTGCCCTTAGGCTGCCTGTGAGCCTGTTTGAAAGGGCTTGTAGGTAACCTGAGACTGGAACCCAATAATCAAATGCAACTCTGGCACTTTGCTGGAAACTGGAAAATGTATTAAGGCTAATTAAAATTATTAATTAACATTTGGAGTTTCCTCAGAAAAGACCAGCAGCAGAGAAGGTAACCTCAGACACCAGCTATTGTAGGGTCAGAAAAAAAATGGAGGAAACTTCAGAAGGTGAGACATGCAACATGCTGCTAGTAAGCAGCTATGGCTGATTTTCCCCAGAAGCTTCAAGCAGGAGGAAGTACACATCTATGAAGCAAATCTATGGGCCCAAGCACAAAGAAAGGGAATTTTTGCCTGCAGTCTTCCCAAATCTGAACACTTCACAAACCCATATATTTGTGGTTTAAGAAAAAGATAAAGTATCTTCCTCCATTTTCTATTAACTGATTAAGACTTGTATACAACAGTGATACAGTAACTTGCGTTTTCTACCTCTAAGAGTAATCTAAAATAATTTCTCTTATACATTCACACCTCTCTTCTGGTTCCAGTCATGAGCATCACCAAGCTGACCAGCATTATAGGTATATCCATCTTGCTGATTAAAATAGTCATCAGTGCTGAATACAACGCCATCACGACTTTGACCAAGTAGAACACTGACAAACAAAGGAAAAGAACAAAACCATTACAAATTATCCAAATCTTATTCTTTAGGAAGCAACAATAAAATGATATTGTAAAATTCTCATGGCCTACAATTTATTTCGAGTTTCTTAATACCTTCAGATCATACCTAAATTTCTTTTACATGCCAATTTTTAACACAAAATTAAGCACTATTCTTTTCTCTCCACCACTTCCTTACATGTTTTGCTTTCCCCGCATACAACAGAAAACATGTTTTCACCCATCTCCTTACAGTCCACATCATGGTAGATTCTGACCTCACATTCTTTTAACATATTTATACTCACAAAAAATCTGGGAAATATTACCCCCATTTTGTAACTGGGGTGTAGAAGAAACACAGTCACAAAGGGAACTTCTGGTGTAGTTGGGAACAGACTTGTTTCTTTTGAGTCTTCGGCAACACCTCAGGCGAATGGCTTGCTTTCCTTCACCTTCATCCGTACTGATCTAGCACAAAGTTAATGCCCAGCAGTTTCTTTATTACTAGACCAAGGACAAGAGTCACAAGCACCTACACAATCTTGCAGGACCATCTTACTGAGCAAGTTCAGGACTGGAATGTAACATTCACTCTTGCTAAAAACTATCCTTAACTCATACCTTAGTTTCTCACCTTATTTTAAACAAGTCTTACATATGATTTTTTCACATTTTAAACTTCTCTCTGAGCAAAAAAAGAAATCTGTTGACTCCCACTCACCAGCTTTTCCTAAACCTTTAATGGAAAACCCTGTTTTAATATTAGCATATGTTATCTTTTCCCTGTTAAGAAAAAGTAGTCATTCCTTCATGGAAGTAGGATTAAAGTCATTACCATACTATCAATCCCCCATGTAAAAACATGCCTTAATAGTTTCATAGCAAGAGATTTTGTCTCATAAATATTCAATACACTATTATTTATAAACAAGCAACAAAAAGAACAAAACCAGCAAGGGTAAGACACTTTATTCAAATGTCTGTGAAGAAAACGTTATCAGTTAAAACGTTTGTAAAAAAGAAAAATATACATTGATGTTTATTCTTTGACATACACATGCCTTTTCACCTGTTCTCTTGCAAACCTAGCCCTCTAATCCAGGGGTGGACAATTATTTCAGGCGAAGGGCTGCTTACCCAGTTTTGGCAGGCTGCGGAGAGCTGCATGGGTAGGCCGCCCACCCCACCCTTGACAGGTGCCCCGCCCCCTGGTCACCATCTTGGGAACAATGTCCCAATGTCTTGGGACCAATGTCCCAGGGCCAGCACCGGTGGGGCCCAGAGAAGAGTGCAGGCTGGCAGGGGTCTGCGGAGCCGGGCTGGGCTGCATCCGCAGGGAGAGGGGGAAGCTGGCCCGGCTCCATAGAGTCCCAGCCCACCGGGACCTTATACACCTGCTGCCCTGCTCTGGGTCCCCCCGACGCTGGCCCTGGGACACTGGTATGGGCCCCGTGCTCCCACTGGCCCCCCAGCCCCGCAGTACAGGCCGGGGGCAGCACACAGCCCCGACGCCCTGCTTGCCAGCAGGGAAGAAGCTGGTGCTGAGCACGGGGAACAGTGGCACCTCACCCGCCCCATGGCTGGCGCTCCCTGCTGCAGGCGTTCGCAGGCCCCCCCGGGCT